ACTCCCAGAATTCCCCAGCCAGCATGCTGGCTGGGGAATTCTGGGAGTTGAAGTCCACACTCTTAAAGTTCCCACGGTTGAGAAACACTGCTATAGCCCTTTGCTACCTGTGCCAAATCAGTGGTAAAATACATCAATCTCACACCCCACTGGAGCAGTGTTTTTTAGCCTTGGCTGGGGAATTCTGGGAGTTGAAGTCCACATGTCTTATGAGAAACACTGATACAGTCTTTGCTACCTAGGCCGAATCAGTGGTAAAATGCATCGATCTCGCACCCCATTTCCACTGGAGCAATGTTTCTTAACCTTGGCTGGGGAATTCTGGGAGTTAAAGTCCCCGCGTCTTAAAGTTGCCAAGGTTGAGAAACCCTGCCCTAGAGGACTGCCACTGCTTCTAGAGCTAAAATAGGGCACTGAGGCACAAGAACTGAAGCCCTGGGGATCCTTCCCTTTGAAAGGGTTAAAAAATGGAAAAATTAAAAATTGGGAACTTGGAAGCTGAATTGGCACAGCCTGATGTTCATTTCTAATTTTGCTTTCTGGGTTGATTTTCAGAAGCCAGTAGAGTAATCAGTTGGAAGACAAGTTACAATTTCAGTCAGATAAATTTTGGCTTCCGTGTGTAGTGCCAGGTTTCAAACATCGGCTTCTTAACTCATATTATATTATTATCCGAAATGAGTGGATATGTTAATCAAAACTGAGCTTTTTATACCCAAGTTTGCTTTTTTTCTTCTCTGAAGGGGGGAGTTCTGACAGAAGGTTTAATAGGATAATATGGTCCAGAAGGGCCATTTGTGAAAAGGTAGTTAATTACAAGTTACGTATGATGCAGCAATGTGATCTTGCAGCAAAAAATACAGATGCAATTTTAGGTGGCCTCAACAGAATATAATCTCTAAATCAGCCTCAACCTTGCAACTTTAGATATGTGGACTTCAACTCCCAGAATTCCCCAGCCAGCATGGCTGGCTAGGGAATTTTGGGATTTGAAGTCCACATATCTTAAAGTTGCCAAGGTTGAGAAATACTGGTCTAAATCATGGAAAGTAGTAGTTGATCTCATTCAGGGTTGGTCAGACACAACTCCCATTAAATAAAAATTAACTTAATATTTTTTCACGTCCAAATATTGCTTAGTCTCTTCCACAAAAGGTGAAATCTTGCAAGATTTTGGGCAAGAAAGGTGACATCTTGGGAGTGAGAAAACTTGGAAGAATATGTTTTGAATTATTCGCTCAAGCCAGCCTATATATGTTTCATCATCTTTACCCAGAAGAGTCTCATCATATGGCACCAGCTAGCTAATCTTCTGATATCAGAAACTAAACAAAACTGAACTAGGTTAGTACATGGATGGGAGACCACCAGGAACTCCCAGGGCTATTATTTCTATACCCATCACTGTGATTCAGTTTTTAAATTATTAATTAAATCAAGATCATATAGAGTCATATTGATTTGGTAGAAAAATAGAGAAATTAATTGTCTTTTTGTGTTGTATTATTGGTCTCCCTTTTTAAATTATTTTTAGTGACATTTACTTTTTTCTGTTTTTTCTGTTTTTTCTTTTTCTTTCTTCTTTTTTTCCCATTGTCAATGGTATTGTTTAGTTTTTTTCAAGGTGTAGTGTTTGCTTTATGAGAGCCTGTTTGGTGTAATAGTTAAAGCAGCAGGCTAGAAACCAGGAGACCATGAGCTCTAGTCCCATCTTAGGCACAAAGCCAGCTGGGTGACCTTGGGCCGGTCCCTCTCTCCCAGCCCCAGTAAGAACACAAGCTCAACCCACTTCTGAAAAAATCTTGCCAGGCAGTCACTAGGAATCAACGCTGACTCAAAGTCACACCCTCAAAAAGTGTTTGCTTTACTAGTTTAAATTTACATTTGGGAAATTCCTGGCCTTAGAAAATTCAGTTATGATCTACTTCCTGATGAGCATGACTAAATGTGTTTGGTTGCCTCAGCTTTGGCCTTCTTTTATGAGGCAATAGATACTCGGTCTCCAGAAGACCCTCTTGCTGGTTAGATACAGCTCTGTGACCTTTGTGTTTGAACTTAGCTTATGGCCTCCCAATTTTGCTAGAACCTTTGTTCGTCTTCTTGCTCAGCACTGTCAGTTCCTTTATTTGTCTCTTGCACCTCTTTAAGATCATAACTTTTTGTCCTTTGCGGTCTGACATATGCCATTTTCTGTTCCCTTTGCACAATTTTGATTTAGAGGTAAGGATCTGTAAGAGTTTTGCTTCCCCATGACCTTTGACGTGGCAGCCTACGGGCCTAACAGTTAAGGTACACAATCCTTGCACTCAGGGCCCTTATGTTCCTGTGGTAACATACCCTGAGCACGTTCCGGCTGTCTTTGGACCCAACCACAATACATCATTCCTTCCCCTTGCTTTACGTAGTCATCCTGGGTTATAACAAGATTAGCTTGCCACAATGCACCTACATTTCATCCAGCTAACGTAATGTTTTTCACTTATGCTATTTCTTTATGAATGTCTCCTACTAACTGGCACCTGTAGAATATGCATGGATTCTACAATTCCCATCATCCCCAAGCAGCATGATGTGTAGAACTCAGAACACATTTCTTCTTTTTCCTAACAGGCTGGCAGTTGCCTAAGTAGAAAGTGAAACTCTGTCCTGTTGATCCAGAAAGGGGAATTGAATTTTCCTATGCTCATACCAGGCTAATTATGCCCATTATTAATCTTGACCTGCTCATCACATTCTCATAGCAGGTTTGTGTGTGGCAGGAGGCAATACCTTAGCAGTTCGTTCATTCATTCATTCATTCATTCATTCATTCATTCATTCATTCATCATATTTGTATCGCTGCCCATCTCACATCCGTACATGCTGTATGGATCTCTGCAATGGATTTTGGAAGGGCGGTTCAGGGGTATTATTGGACATATAAGTACAGTGACCAAAGACAGTCCTTTATTCCAGAAAGCTGTCCTTTAGATTTATTTATTTCTTCAAAAACTCGTTTTGTCCTTTGTTTTGGTCATTTAACTCTCACTGTGCAAATGGTACCCCTTAATGCATAGTCTTTCACATTCATGTGAAAAATATGGAACTTGAATAGTCTTTTTAAAATAAATTTGCATATACGGTTTGATTTTAGACTTTTTTTTAGAGTATGCCTTTTTGTAAAGCATTTCTTGGTTTTGCTCTTGAATTTTCCTTTGTAAAGCAAAGTTATAAACAATTCAATTTTTTTTATCTTTATGAACCCCTTTCAGATTTGCCCCTTTATTTTTCCCAAGAAAATATAGTCACCATACCTATAAGTCAACTTAAATCTCACCTTCTGCAGGGGAAATGGCTGGTTCTAGGGTGATTAGTAGCAAGCTATTAATATCTGCAACACGAACAGAGAATCTTCCCACAGGCCCAACATTGTGAAGTGACTGGAGCATTTGTGATTTATTCTCTTTTCCCCTGTGTGGTTCTTTCCTCATTATTTTGGTTTTTCAATTAACGGTTTTAACCTTCTCGGTCCTTGACTTTAGCTCAAAGAACGGTGGTGCGTCCACCGGTGGTGGATGATAGGATGGTCTGCAAATAGACAGGTTAGCTGCAATAGAAGAAGATGATTTTCCCATGAATAAGCAGTTGCAGAGCGTGAGTGGAGTGGTGTCAGGACGTGGTGAATGATGAGGGAGGATGCGGTTCTCCAAAACACTATAGAAATGCAAAGATGGCACTGGGGCAGGGCAAGTAGGGATGACCTTAAATGTCCACCCCATTTTCCTGATTTCAGGCGGTACCAAGATGAAATCCATCAGCTGGGCTTATGAGCAGGTAGGTATCAGCTTTCCCAGGTAGACCAGATAGGAAACACAACCAGGTGAGCTAATTCTACTTTATTGTAAGGCTGCATGAACAGAATCTTGCAAGTCTGAAAGTACAAATCTCCCGCCATCTCTTTTACAGTCTGAGAAGTTAGGGAGGGTCCTTTTTGATCCACTTTCTCTGTCCATTATGCAGCTGTGGGCTATGTCCTCTCTTATCTGACGATTCCCTTGGCAGTGTCTCCTGGCCCTGTTTCTCAGGGTCTTTCTCACATACCATTACAGCAGGGAACCATGGGTGAGGTTGCAGCAAAGTGGCGAGCTACTTCTCTGCGTATGCGAAGGATACTTGTGCAAAGGAGACTGGAGATCTTCTTTCTGGAGTTGCAGGAGTCAGCTATCACTCAATGGAACATAATATCAGCCCTTTGAGGTAGGCCAGGTCAAGAAACAAACACCGCA